TAGCTTTACCAACTTAGCGTTATGTATGGAAGTGGAACCTTTCTAACTTTTAATTTTAAGGTTGATGACAACACGTCCTTGATGTCTGAGACCTTTAATATATCTAGTTTTTTCCCTTTATGGTTGTTTGTCCTGATATTAAAATATTTGAGCCTCTTAGCTGATGGTTTCTTTGTCTTTCTTATTGGTGTTTAGGTATCTTAAGTACTTGACCAAGAAATATTTGAAGAAGCACAATGTCAGGGATTGGCTTCGAGTGATTGCTTCCAACAAGGATCGTAATGTTTATGAACTACGATACTTCAATATTGCTGAGAATGAGGGTGAGGAGGAAGAGTGAAGATCGGTTCAGCCTTTTCCATAGTCACCTGTTTGTTCGGTTTAATTGTTATGAGGAACCTCGTTTATCTATCTCAAGTGTTATATTTTTGAACTGGTTTCATTGTTATTTCGAATCTTCTCTATTTTTCATAAAAAAGGTGCATGTTTCTCCAAGGAGCTGATTATAACTTACACAAGCATTTAATTGATCTTGCACTTTGCTTTTTTTTAACAACGGCTGGTAGCAGTACTTTCTGTAGTGATGGTCATGACTTAGGACTTGGCATTTGTGAGAAGAGTTATCTACCGGGTTGTCCTGGCCATTTGACTCGATTTAAAGAACATCTTTAATAGCATATGCCTTGAACATGATTTTGAGGGTAGAATGGCTTCCATTTCACTATGAAACACAGATTTAAACCGTCTGACAATCCGGTGTCTTATTTAAGGCCAACTCTGTGGCACTTGTAGTTACATTATCACAATATTTGGAAGCTGCAAATTTTAGTTGAAGTTCGAACTTTAAAATTGAGTGAGGAGCTTAATCAATTCAGGCCGTGGAGAACACAGAGCTTCCAATGGCATAGCCTTGGACAAAAGTGATCCAGTACGTGGGGTCATATCTACAGTATCTGACCCTACATTTTCCCATTCAAAGCATTGTAGCTGTACCCAGTGCCAACAGAACCAACCGCAAGCCCATGGTAGTGCCGGGACAAGCTCTCCTCCCGAGTCCAAATGGAAAAAATTAGTATCGATCCTTCACCTCCCAAGTTCCCTCGAATCTTTCAGGCTTGAACTTGGTTGCCTCGTCCCATATATTAGGATCATTGTATAGCCCAAGCGTTGACAATCAGCAGTGTGCCTTTAGGTACCTCGTATACGCCCACCATACAGTCTTCGGATGAATAATTGGGCACCAGAAACGGTCCTGCGGGATATAACCTGAGTGTCTCATTTACAATGCAACGAAGATAAGGAAGCTTGGTGAGATCCGATTCATTCAGTAGACGCTCGTGCCCGACGTGGTTATCGATCTCGGCTCTCACTTTCTTCAAAACCTCAGGATGGTTTAATAGGAGTGACATTGCCCATTCTATTGTAACTTTTGGCATTTCAGATCCCGCAATGAACATCATCTGGGACACATGTTGCATGCGGATGTTAATATCATTAAAAGCATATTAACTTTTGATATATTTAAACTTTACCACTGCCTTGAGATGAGAAATAACAACTTACCACTGCCGTGCCCTTGATGACTTCATCGGAAAGGAATTCAGGATTTTCTTCTTGATAAGACAGAAGCTTTTAGATCACCGAAGGATTTTCTATGGCATTGACAGCAGCATCTCGAGTTCTGTTTGATCTAATTCCATCCACTAATTTCTGTAGGTATTCGTCTCTTCTCCTCTGCAATTCTTTATACCCCTTTTCAATCCCTTGGAAACCAATCCACTTCAGAATTGGAAAGTAATCGCATATGGTTGTTTGCATGCTCCGAAAAAATAAACTCTTAAATTCTTGGAATACCATCTTTTCTGTCTCCTTGTTCCTAGTTGCAGCCTTTCCGGACGCCATCTTCAACAGGAAATTCACCGTCAAAAGATTAAACTAGTATGTCAAGTCCACCTTTCGGCCGCTGCCGTTAGCTACCGACACGTTAAGCAAGTGACGACGAAGCAAGTTGCCGACTTCATCTTCATGTATGGAAGAAGACTTCTGAACGCTGATTGTCGATAAAAGTTTAACGACGGTGAGACGGCGAAGGTACTTCCAAAGAGGTCCATGAGGAGCCCATATGTAGGAACGTCGAAATATCCCCGGCCATAGTCGGAGGCCGGTTTGCAAATATGATATCGTTCTTGCCGAAGCATTCCTTAACAGCAGAAGGAGAAGATACGACAAGCATACGCCTACAACCTACTCTGAGATATAAAATGGGGCCATACTTGGATAACAAGGTTGCTAATGATTTTTAGAGCTGGCTACCGAGAAGGTGAAAATGGCCAATAATTGGCAGAGACAAGGGTCTAGGTGGTAAGTTTTGCTTTCGTTGAGTTAAAAGCTTGATGGTGAGAAAAATGAAGATTATGAAGCCAATGCAGTGGTAGAGACTCTTCATGGAAAAGATAGGAAACCGTTGGAGGAAGAGAAGAAATAAAGAAAGCCTTAACTGTCCCTAGAATTTATAGAAGCCTCGAGTGAGTCACTGAATTATTTAAAGTGGGATCAGTCTATGCATTGAAATTTAATCATTTTGAGTCGTTGCACTATTGAAAGTGGGATCATGTGTCTGCATCATGTTTATCATACTGAAAACTGCTCTACCATGAGATAGGAGACGAGGGTGATGAAGTTAAGTTGCAAGTGCAAGAAGAAATGAAATCACATTATACTGTGAAACGAATACGAAGGACTGTCGGTAAGTTTTCCGGTGTTCCTTGCGTTGTCGGTTCATAAGAGAAGGGTTCTGCGTCCTTTGGGTGTTTAGAACTGTTCGGCGTTGTGGACCTTGTGGTCGGAACTGTTGGATGGTGGTAAGTTTCATTCTTCTCCTCCATTCTTGAATATGAGTGGTAAGTGTTGTTACCGGTTTGATTATTGGTGGTCCTACGTTTTTGTTAATGTTGTTGCGTCGGGGCGATAGTGATCATTTTATTACAAATCGATAATATTAGTGACTAATTTATTACATTTAAAACTTTAGTGGGAAAACGAAAATTTACTCAAATATTAGTGATCACTGGTGTAGTTTACCCTTAAAAAATTATTATAATTTTATTTTTTTAATTTAATATTCTAATTTATTACCAACAGTGGTTTGTTCAATTAGTAAGCAGTTTGATATCGCTTAAATATGTCTCGAGTTTGAGGACTTATGTATGCAAAAATTTTCAGTTGGAAGACTCACCCACAAAAATTAAACGTGCGATACAGATCAATCCACATTAGTCATGACAAAACACTGAAGAATCGGAAAAGCAACGAAAAAAAGTATTCTCTAAAAATGTCTTTATTTTAAATTATTTTTTATCATTTATTTGCATTTATGATTTATTCATTTATTTATTTTAAGTACTTTGCATTTATTTACTTTTACATGTCGTTTAATTTTTTTATTCAATTTTAATATTAATGTACTTTCTCATGTATTTTGAATTACTTTCGTTATTTTCATTAATTGTAATTTTTTGTCTCACTTTTTCAGATTAAACCTAAATTATTTTTACTTTTATATTTTTCAAAATCATAATTTATTTTATTTACTCTCTTAAAACAATATATAATGTGTTGGTATCAATTTAAACATTGTGAGAGTGCTCGTCATTCTTCGCATGTAACTTCTTGAGTTCTTCTAGTTGAATCTTTAATAAAACGTAGATCTAATAAAAAGATAATTTTCGATATTCAATCATATTTAACCCAAAAAATCGATGACAACTTCAAAATGATAAATCATTCATTTAAGTCAAGATCCGCTTTGAATTTAAAATAAAAACTGTCCCGATAACACCGTAACATTTTTATTTGTGGAAAAATATTATTGAACCAATTTTGGAATAGCTAGTGTGAATCTTAGGGATATTTCCAAAATTTGCTTTTTGGCGCATTTACTTTTATCAAATACAATCAACAGTTTATAGTTTCCATTTTAATTTAAGGATAAAAAAAAATGAAGAATATGAAGCAGAGGTACGAGATTCTTCATGGAAAAGATAAGGAAATCGTTTAGGGAAGATAAGATATAAGCGTCGAGTGAGTCGCTGCATTATTGAAACAAGTCTATGCATGGAAAAATATCTCTAAATTTGTGGTTTCACAATTACCAAATAAAATAATAATTATCATAATAATATTAATATTAGTTAATCAATCAAATCAAGTCATCATCCATCAAATTCATCATTTATATATTAAAACAAATCTAATATATGCGTATACATATAAATACATCTAATTTATAAAAATTAATACATATATACGTATATAAATTAAATCATCTCGATTTTTAATTTGGTATTTGAAAATGAATTTCAAACTATTCATTCGGTATTTCAAAACAATTAAGAAACTTTAGATATAAAATAATTTATAAAATATTCAATATCATATTTGTTGTATCAGATTTCATAGAAAATAAATTGAATAGTTTAACCATAAAAAAAATAAAATATCAATTAAAATAATTATTTTATTGGAAAATATCACTCGGTCGGATTTAGGTTTTTTAAATTTGAGATGTTACAATTCTCCTCCTTTGATAATCGTGCTCGAATTTTCGTCGGATTCTAACATCTAGAAATATGTTTTACGCGCTGCGAGCCCTCTCATTTCGCCAAACAAACGCAAGAATTGCAGATTCATTTATCCTCTCTTTGTTGCTTCGCGATCGATGGCGTTGCCTAATCAGCAAACTGTTGATTACCCGAGCTTCAAGCTCGTCATCGTCGGCGATGGAGGAACTGGAAAGACCACTTTTGTGAAGAGGCATTTAACTGGAGAGTTTGAAAAGAAGTATGAGCCAACCATTGGAGTTGAGGTTCACCCATTGGAGTTCTTCACTGGGAAAATCCGGTTTTATTGCTGGGATACTGCTGGGCAAGAGAAGTTTGGTGGTCTCAGAGATGGTTACTACATTCATGGGCAATGTGCCATTATTAATTTATTATGTTTGATGTTACTGCCCGGTTGACATACAAGAATGTTCCTACATGGCATCGTGATCTTTGCAGGGTGTGTGAGAATATTCCTATTGTTCTATGCGGTAACAAGTTTGATGTAAAGAACAGACAGGTTAAGGCAAAGCAGGTCACATTCCACAGGAAGAAGAACCTGCAATACTACGAAATTTCTACCAAGAGCAACTACAATTTTGAGAAGCCTTTCTTGTACCTTGCCAGGAAGCTTGCTGGCCCCTCGTACTGGCTAGCAGCACTTTCTGTTGTGATGGACTCAGGACTGTCCATTAGAAGTGTTATCTACCGGGAGGACCTGGCCATCCGACCAGATTTAAAGAACATCTTTAATAGCATGACTTGAACAAGATTTAAGGTATAGCAGGTCTACCATTTTCTACTATACAACTCAGATATAAACCGCCTGACAAGTTATTTATATATGTGGATGTATATCCTTTCAGCTTTTGAATTCTTAACCCTGAAAATCCTGTGCCTTTTTTAAGGCCAACACTATGGCAATTGTAGTTACAATCTCAAAATCTTTTGAAGCTGAAAATTTTAGTTGAAGTTAACTTTAAAATTGAGAGAGGAGATTAATCAAATCAGGCCGTGGAAAACACAGAGCCTCCAATGGCATAGCCTTGGACAAACCTAGTCCAGTACCTGGGGTCATATCTACAGTATCTGACCCCACATTTTCCCATTCAAAGCATTGTATAACTGTACCAAGTGCCAACAGAACCAACCGCAAGCCAATGGTAGCGCCGGGACAAGCTCTCCTCCCGAGTCCAAATGGAAGAAATTTCGATCCTTCTTTCTCCTCCTCAAATCTTTCAGGCTTGAACTTGGTTGGCTCGTCCCATATTTTAGGATCATTGTGTATGGCCCAAGCATTGACAATCAGCAGTGTGCCTTTAGGTACCTCGTATCCACACACCATACAGTCTTCGGATGAATAATGGGGCACTAGAACCGGCGCTGGAGGATATAACCTGAGTGTCTCATTTACAGCACTACGAAGATAAGGAAGCTTGGAGAGATCTGAGTCATTCAGTAGACGCTCATGCCCGACACGGCTATCAATCTCGGCTCTCACTTTCTTCAAAGCCTCTGGATGATTTAATAGGAGTGACATTGCCCATTCTAGTGTAACTGAAGTCGTTTCAGTTCCTGCAATGAACATCATCTGGGGCACATGTTGCATGCCGATGTTAAAATCATTAAAAGCAGAATACTGATTAATCATCGCTGTGATAGATTAATCAAACCAAGCATTATGAGCCAATGATTTTTTTTTATATAATAATTGTTGAAGATGGACTTTTGCATAAAATGGGTCTCCTTTTGACTTCTGAGATTTGTGTTAAGTAATGCAGTTGTAAAATAGTCTACTTCTGCATATTTGTATAATTAATGCAGTTGTAAAGGCTTGAGATAACAGGCGACAACCGTACTCTGTTTTTCCTTTTATGCTTTGAGATGTGAAATAACTACTTACCAGTGTCGTGCCTTTGATGACTTCCTCGGAAAAGAATTCAGGATCTTCTTCTTGAAAAGACAGAAGCTTTTCGATCACCGAAGGATTCTCTATGGCATTGTCACGAGTTCTCTTGAATCTAATTCCATCCACTAATTTCTGTACGTATTCGTCTCTCCTCCTATACAATTCTTTCAACCCCTTTTCAATCCCTTGGAAACCAATCCATTTCAGAACAGGGAAGAAATCACATATGTTGGTTCCCAAGCTCGGAAAAAATAAACTCTTAAATTCTTTAAATACCATCTTTTCTGTCTCCTTGTCCCTAGCTGCAGCCTCTCCGGACGCCATCTTCAACATGACATTCATCGTCAGAAGACCAAACAAGTATTTCAAGTCCACCTTTCGGCTGCTGCCGTTATCTGCCGAGACTCCAAGCAAGTGACGATGAACCAAGTTGCCGACTTCATCTTCACGTATGGAAGAAGACTTCTGAACGCTGGTTGTCGATAAAATCTCGACGACGCTGAGACGGCGAAGGTTCTTCCAAAGATGTCCGTGAGGAGCCCACACGTAAGAACGGCCGTCGTACATTAAAATATCCCCGGCCATAGTCGGGGGCCGGTTTGCAAAAATCATATCGTTTTTGCCGATGCATTCCTCAACAGCAGAAGGGGAAGATGCAACAAGGATACGCCTAGAACCTACTCTGAGATATAAAATGGGTCCATACTTTGATAACAAGGTTGCTAATGATTTGTAGAGAGGGTTACTGAGAAGGTGAAAGTGGCCAATAATCGGCAGAGACAAGGGACTGGGAGGTAGGTTTTGCTTTCTTCGAGTTAAAAGCTTGATAGTGAGAAAAATGAAGAATATGAAGCCAAGGCAGTGGTAGAGATACTCCATGGAAAATATAGGAAAGCGTTGGAGGAAGATAAGAAATAAAGAAAGCCTTAACTGTCACATTTAAAGTGGAATCAGACTATGCATTGGAAATTGGGACCTTTAGTGGGACAAGGACAACCCATTCCGACGACTTTAATCCTAAAAAAACCAATCAACTAATTAGGATATTTAATAAGTTCTTAACCGAGTTTGAAGTTATTGACTCTGTGACAGCTATTACTGGACAAATGAGGAAGCTGATAAACTCATACGAGGAGTAAAGAAGGTTAAACCATTGGAACAACAAAAGTTTTCCAAGCTTGTGAATTAGAGCCGAGTAATTTTTTTTACTTGAAAAATTGATTTTTTCCATTTAATTCGATTCAAGAAATTTAGATTCAAGAAAATTCGATTAGAATTGATTTTAAGTTGTAATTTTATAAATTCGACTTGATTAAAAAATTTTAAATTTAAGTCGAGTTATAAAATACAACTCGAATAACTCAAATAGTAATTTGAATAACTCACAATTTTTAGTAATCAGTAGATTTATTTTTAAGTTTTAGTCGAGTCCCTCGATAACTTATGATATATGTATAGCACATATGAAAAAAATATGAAGAAATATATATGTATTGTATATGGTTATAAAAAATCATTTAAATTAGAATTAAATAGAATCATACTATTATAAATATTTACAATTAAATTTAAACACAAACTCGAATTTTTTTTACTCAACTCGATCGAACGCTCACTCCTATGTGCAATGGCAGAGCCACATGTTGTTGAGTGTGGGCACGCGCCCTTCCTAGAATTCAATTTTTTTTCGATTAATTACTTTTTTTATTAATAGTATTCATCCTAAAATTTTATTTACATCGACCTTATTTAAAAATTTTATTTATACCTACTTCAATTAAAATTTTTAAATTATTAACATATATATTGATCCTCAAAAATATTTTTAAATCTATCACTATCTACGTGAAACCATTATACAGGCTCTCTCTATTAGTACCAACCATCAGCAAGCTGACTCAGTTAGGCCTGTAAACGAACTGAACGTACACGGACGGAAGTATGTTAATGTTCGTTCATTTAATAAATAAATGAACATAAACGAACACAAACATAAACGAACAATTTTTTTTTTGTTCATGTTCGTTTATTAAGGAATATAACTTGTTCATGTTCGTTCATTTAATAAATAAACGAATATAAACGAACATGAACTGTAACAGCCTCGATACCGGGTTAGTGACTCAATTATAAAACTTCGAAATGTGGTGATTAAAATAGAATGATTGAATACTGTTGAAATTTGATATAGGGTTAAATTGCAAGGAAAATGAAATTGAAGGATAGAATGGTCATTTGTAAGGAAAAATAATTAAGATTTCTTATATTTATTTTAGCTACACGTGGAAGAATGAAGAAAAAACATAAGCTTCCAGAGTTTTCTTCCTTTCTCTTCTTGTTCTTCACGTGTGAAGCTAAACAAAGGTGAGATTTCTTTTAAGCTGATTATGTGCTGAAATTTGAGTTGGGTTTTGACTATTAGGTGATAAGTAAGATTAAGGAAAGCTTAATTTGCTTCAAAACAACAAAATGAAAAGTGTAGGAGGATTTAAAGATTTGGAGTTTGTGAATGAAATTTCGAAATAGAGTTCATAATTAGAATAAGAAGTTGAATTTGACTTGTCATCTACCTAATTAAAGGATATGAAGTGTCGAAATTAGATTTTGAACATGTTGAAATTGGGGTGAAATTCTTGAATTTTATGTGGAAGATTGGATTTTAAGTTAAAGAAGTGATTATTGAGTAGTAATGAGTGTAAGTATATGTATGCAAGTTAGAAACATTAAAGAAAGTGAAATAAGAAGAATTGGGGAGAAAAAAGGATGAATTTCGTGATAAAAATAAAATTTATGGGCTATGTGCATCGATACACATTCAATATGCATCGATGCATCAAGGATAAATCCCAGAAATTGTTCAAGGTGTATCGATACACTCTGATAAAATAAAAACATCGAATGACATTAGTGCATCGATGCACCCCATTGAATACAAACATCGAATGTGATTCATGCACCGATGCATAAGTAGTGCATCGATGCACCCGTTAAGGAATGCATCGATGCATTGTAGAGTGCATCGATGCATACCCTCATTAAAGATAAAGTTATCCTTCTTTTAGACTAATAAGTTATAGTTTAGCATATATTAATTAGTATATTGATATGTATTAATGTATTACTATGTAGATATAAAACGTAAGTCTGTTCTGGAACAATCAAAGGATTAGTATCGAGTCAAAACGAGCAAGGCTAAGGTGAGTGCGTTTTATGGTTTAAGTGTATGGAGATAAGACTTGTGATAAGTCTATCTCTGATAGTTGAATTCATAATTTCATATTCATGTATATGCATACATGCATTATTGTTATAGTGATTTTGTGCACAATTTATTATGCTTTAATATGATATTATGGGAACAAATGTCATTGCAAGGGTAATTGATACAGGTATGTGAATATTGAAAAGAATCATGTGTATATATGAAGTGATAGCAGTGATATGATAATGATAATTTTAATTAAGCCCATGTCCTTTAATATGAGAAATGTGGGTATAATTGGCATACCAAGAGTCGAGGGATATACAGCGGTCCTTCGGGACATAGTGGTCCTTCGGGACATAGTGGTTCTTCGGAACAATCAGTGGTCTTTCGGGACATAGTGGTCCTTTGGAACAAATACTGAACGAATGTTCGGTGCCCCATGAGGGAATTTATTGAGCTGTGGTGACAGCATTAGTGCACAACCTCAATGTACTCAAGTACCTCTGTTCTCAATAATGTACATGGGCAATCTAAAGATAAATGGAATGGAAAAGTGTATAAGAAGTAAAGTTCATATGTGCATATCATGTTTACATATGTTATCATATAAGATATATGTACATTGAAATATCATGATGAAAAGGTAAGAGTGCATATTCATGAATTTATTGTTACATGTTCATTTATTGTCTCACTAAGTCTGTGACTTAGCGTGTAAGTGATTTACACGTAGGTGCCAAAAAACAAGAAGATCAGAATTAAGAGCTGAGTGGACAGTATACTTTACAAGAAGGATCAGATCAGGAGTAACTCGCAATGTAGGTATTTTGTTGTAATTAGTGTGTTGGCATGTAAACAACTTGTGAGTTATAAATGCTCTGATCGATTTTATGTAGTATTGTCAATTTTTGTAAATTAACAGTTTTTATTTTGAATGAAAGTTTTAAATTCCTTGTTTTTCTATAAGTGTCAAAGTTTGAAAATTCAATGTGACACATCAGACTCGTATTCGGGTCGGATACGGGTTGGGGTGTTACAATTAATGGTATCAGAGCTATAGTTTAGTCGATTCTCGGTATGAACTGGTGTCTAGAGTGTCTTATAATGTGTACATGCCAATAAAATAGTGAGAACTTCTGATCTGATGTAACAGTAAGTATGATGTTTTGCTAATAGAACGATATAATTATATTATTATAGATGTCCGGACAGGGTAACTCTAAGAGTGAAGCGGAAGATGATATGCCTGCTGAAAGCAGCAATTCACCTGTCCTGGCCAGGCATAGTGAAGAGCAGACACCCTCTGGAGTGCCTATAGGTGAACAAGATGTGTTCTTTAGAACACTGGACGCGGTATTGGCGCGTTTTCAACCTTCTGTTACTTCAACTCCAAGAATGAATGTTGCAAAGGAGTTGAAGATTTTAGGAGCACCAGAGTTTAGAGGTGAAGCCGAAGAAGGTCCTGATGTTGCGGACCTTTGGCTTAATGACGTAAAGATTATGCTTGAAGGACTTCACTGTTCTGAAGCTGAGAAATTGGATGGAGTAGTCTCCTTGCTCCGAGGGCAAGCGAGAATTTGGTGGACCAATGTTACCTTGAGGATGCCTGGTGATCAAGTAACTTGGTCTTTCTTTTTAGAAGAATTTAAGCATAAGTAAATCGGAGATCAGTTCATGCGGTAGATGAAACAATAGTTTATGAGTTTGAAACAATGGAGTCGTACAGTGTATGACTACGAGTGCAGATTCAATAGACTGAGCCGCTTTGCTACTGAGCTTATTCTTACGGAAAAGGATGCTTGCGATTGGTTTGTAGAAGGTTTACGTCCAAGAATAAAATAAATGTTAATTGTGTTAAATCTATCGTCATTTCAAGAAGTGGTGAATCATGCTAAAGCTCTGGAAAGAGCTCAAAATGAGAGATTTGGAGATTCACGAGCTCAAACGTCAAAGAGATCGGGTGCATCCTCGAGTTCTGCACCATCCAAGAGAGGTAGAGATGCTGGTGTTAGACCCCAAGTTAGAACAGAGTCGGTGACCTCCTCCGCTAGAGGATCTAATCAGATGAGGGATCGACAAATTCAGTCGGTAGGATCAAGTGCTGGGAGATCTAATTAGAATCAAGCTAAGCCATGTCCACATTGTGGAAGGAATCACTCGGGAACTTGTAGACTGATCTCTGGATCATGCTTTAAGTGTGTGGATACTTGACATTTTGTTCGGGATTGTCCCATGTTAGCCGGTGATTCCGCTCAGCCAGAGAGGTTTGCCTCGGCTCCCCAGAGAGGAAGAGGTAGAAGCAGAGGAAGAAGTCAATCTGATTCATCAGCTCCACAAGAGATACGCTTCACCGCTCGGGTGTATAATCTCAAGACTAGCGAGGATAGAGATGACCCAGAGATCATAGTAGGTACCTTCCAATTGTATGACAAGAATGTGTTTGTATTGATTGATTCGAGGTCTACTTATTCTTACATTTGCAGTAAGTTAGTGAAAGAATTGAATATTTCGTTAGAAGTTACTAGCAGTGAGGTAATAGTGACCAATCCGTTAGGACGCAGTGCTCGAGTCAGTACGGTATGTCGAGGGTGTCCCATACGGATTCAGGGAATTGAATTCCCTGCTAATCTGATGGAACTACCTTTTGATGAATTCGATGTGATATTAGGAATGGACTGGTTATATCGTTATTATG